AAAGATGGTATAGATGTTTGAAAAACCAAGATAAATTTTGAAGTGTGTATACGTATTTACACAATAGGCTATATAATAAGAATGAAAATTCATTGACCAACCTGTCATTATGCACAAAATTGTGAACAATGAACTCTATATTTTCTGATATTATCAGTTTTGTACAACAATTCTTAAAATTTATTGCGAATAATCAGTTTCAATTGGTTAAGAATAGGGAAACAAGTTTTCTATGTAGTAATTTCTAAAATTTTGTCAATTCTATCTTTTATACCATTCACATCAGCCTCCATTCATTTTAACTCATTTGAATCTGAATCTGACACTTTGCCTTTGCTTTTTTGCTTTTTCCCTTCCCATTAGTCAGGAAGGTGGTGAAACTTGACGGGTTCATCATTGTTGATTTCACACCCCCGAACCAGACGACTGAAGCATCCGGGGGCTCGTGTGTCTAACAATTGAATTATCATCATAATGAATATACATGAAACATAATACTTTCATCACCAACATTACATATAACAACTAGCATTGTTCACATCAAGTACATTGTTATAAGTTACATAGTTTCAAGTTTTAAAAGTACGATAAGTAATGTTACACAAAATAAATCAACACATTCTTGCAAATCCTTCCTGTTTAACGAGTATCTGAGAATACAAGTTATTTTGAAAACGGTCAATATATATAAGGTTGGTGAGTTTATAAGTAAGGTTGAATAAAAGTCTTTGTATCTTTCGTAAAAACCCAGAAAATCCGATATTTTCTGTAAATTGTCTGAAAATGTTGTGAAAATCAAGTATAAATGCATGTGTGAATTTCATAGTTATAACTCGTATAAGTGTAGTTTAGATTCATTGTATTGTGAATAGGTGATAGATGTATATGAATATTTTCCCCAGAAAATCCAATATTTTCTATTTTATAACAATGTCTAGGTTCTTGTATCGTTAAATAAGTCGTTTTGTATTGACACAACCAAAGAGTTAATCTTTGATAGGTTAAATTTGGTATTGAATCCTTATATGAGCCGTTATAACCATGCATGATAATGAATAGGTTGCCCGTCTTGGCATTTTTCCAAATGTCGATATTGCTCAAGATTTTGTCGCCCTAGACTAGGCTAGTCTAGCTGTAGCTGTCACACCCCAAAACCGAGAACGGCGGAAACGTTCTGGGGCGGAGGACGTCATGTAACGTATCACAACACAGTAAATGTAAATAAGCAAACAACATCATCCATTGCATTAAATATAAAATTTTAATACAAGCGTCATCTGTACATTATAGACACCAAAAATAACGTAAATCAAAATAATAAGATGAGTCTTGGATACGCTCCATCTTCTCAAAAGCTGGCCTCGATACCTGTCTACTGATGACCTGAGAATACAAGTTATTTTGAAAGAGTTTATCAGCATTAAGCTGGTGAGTTCATAAGTATTTTAGTGTCGGTATTTGTCATCCAAAAATGTTTGAACATGTATCAAGCATAAGTTTGTAAAAGGTATGTAAAGGTTTGTAAGTGTTTGTAGAAGTTTGAATCTCTCAGAAAAACCTATATTTTCTATTAAAGTAGCCTTCTACCAAGGCTTAACTGTTTTGCATACTCGTTTGTCGTAAAAGTGTGTAATTTACCCAAGTGTAACTATCTTTTAACAAAATATAGTTTGTACATTAAAGTTTAAGTGAGGTTATCACTAAAAATGTAATGGGTAAATCATTGTAGTACTGTAGTTTTGTTTTATAGGAACTACTGCCATACTAACTACCTTAAACCGGATTTATATTAAGGTATCATGTGATAAATTGCACCATACTATCGACTGGTAACAACGACAACGTATAGTCGAAAAATAAGTTATGACGTTTGGCATTCGCAGACCTGTCGGTCCCACTGTAGCTAGCAGCAAGGTGTAGGATAGTCAATCCAGTATAGATCTATACGCAAACTCAACGCTCTCCCTCCAAGAGAATTCTGGCTACAACTCGGGCCATGACATTTAAGGCATGCTCCGATACAGTGGATCACAATCGTTAACGTATTAATGTAAGGGTAATGTTTCTTGTTCTAGTATAGTTGTATATGTAATGTTCTAGAAAGTATTGACTCATGAATGAACTGACTCATTGTATGATATCGCGTTCTAGTAACGGTTCTAGCATCTTCCTAAACTACCCATATGGTAGTTTACTAGCAGTCTAACTGGTACGTATGGTCATGGATGTATACCCTTACTAACTAAGGGCGTGGGATGAACTGAAAAGACCTTTTATGACTATATATGTACACATGATATATAACTAATATTTAAACGTCTTTCGGACGAATACCCAAAATCCCACTAGACCACATCTCAAGGCGCGAAAAGGAAATAGGGTGGATAGCCTTCCTAAGTCTTTTAAACATTTCTTATATAACTATACATATAGAGGCATGCAATTTATAATATAAAAGCATAAATGAATTTTGTAAGACATTTGAAACATAAACATTATTTTAAGAAAAGATCGACTTGATGTCGATCTATAAAACAATTTGAAGGCATAAGTATGATAAAACAGTTTTGAGTATAAGGAAACATTTGATTGAAACATAGTTGTACATAAGTTTGAAAGGTAATGTACCGAGTAAGATGTACAGTGTAATAAATAGTTTAAAACATATAAAATGTTTATAAAAGTCATTTGAAGGAAACTGTTTGGTAAGACGGCTAATGAGTAGCCAAATCTTTCGAATGCTGTATATTAATCACATGTGATTGATGTAATAACTAGCGTAATTCTACTTATTAATCGCCTGTGATTGATATAATCCTAGCATGATTTTACTTGTATTCCCCCCCATAAAGCATTTAAAAGTAGTTTAGAACATTAGTTAAGGGGTATGAACTCACTTGGAAGTTTGAAGATAGCGAGATGGAAAACCGGGCAGAGTTTCGTCTCGGGAAACGGATTTTTCTCGGGATTCTCGGGAGTAAAATCGACCCTCGGGACTTGAGCAAAAAGACCAGAGCTTCGGGTTTGAACGGGCACGAAAATCGAGGCAAGATCGTGAGAGAAAGAGAGGAATGATCAAATTTTTCGGAAAGGCTCGCATCCCTTTTATAGGGGGCTGAACTGCCTCCGTACGCGGGGCGTACGGGCATACGCATCGCTTACGTATTTCGGATGGGGCGGGTCGGATGGGACGGCGGGTCGGGTAGCTTTGCATAGGGCGACGTGGCCGATCCGAGGCCGTGGTCTCGAGTACGCGGGGCGTACGAGGGTACGCGGTGCGTACCTCGGCCCTAGGCTGACTCCCCCTTCGGATATTACCAAGATTTTTTTATTTAAATTTAATTAAAATTTATTAATTAAACTTCAAAAAATCATATCTTCTTCATACGAACTCCGTTTTCGATGTTCTTTATATCCCCGCGAAGGTGAGACTACGATCTACAACTTTCGTTTAGATTCTGTTGGCAAATTCCAAAATTATTTTTATTATTTATTTATTAAAATGACGTGATTAAGGAATTTCTTTAAAAATTCATAACTTCTTTATCCGACGTCGGTTTTTGCCAGACTTTTTACCGCTGAAATACCATTGACGAGACCTTAAATTCTCATTTAGGTCATCCCGGCCAAAAGTCGCTCGATCTCCGATTCGAGTTTTTAGCTGTCTACTGTTATATCTGTAACTTAGAAAAATCACAACTTCCTCATACGAAGTCAGATTTGGACGTTCTTTTTATGTACGTTTACGGTTTGATGATATCTAAAAATTTCATTTAGATATCTAAGGCCAAAAACTATTGTATTGAAACTTTGTGTTTTACGTCTATCAGTGTTGCCGGTTTTTGCCGAGAATCTTCGGTTGGTCATAACTTCTTCGTTATAACTCGGATTTTAGTGTTCTTTATATGTTTGGAAACCTTGATACGATTCCTACTACTTTATTTAACCCAAATAAGATTTTAGGAACATTATATTTTGACCCAATTTTGATTGGTTTTACATTACATTGTCTCGAAATATCGGGTTGTCACAGTAGCGAACAGCTAAAGCATGGGTGGTCACACCGTATATATCTATACACAAACTCCCGCTTTCCCTCCAGGAAACTCTGATTATAACTACATGCTACGATTGTACATTCAGAGGTGCCAACCGACATGTCTCATTAGAGTCTCAATCTTTTTGTATTATGCTTAATGTTTACGTATATGTGGTATGTTTTCGTATTCGAAAGGTACATATATAAGTATACGAAGTTTAATGATTACGCAAGGTATAGTTACGATCTATTAGCTTGTGAATTTCATTCCAAACCCAATTAGCATTTAAATGGACCATAAAGGCCCAATAACATGTACGAGGGTAATTTAGGCCAAATAGGCATGTAAGTAGGCCACAAAAGCCCAATAAACATGTAACCCATAAATTAGGCCCAGATTAACATGTAAGTGGGTCGCAAGGCCCAATAAACATATCATGGAAAAGTATTGGGCTCAATATACACATGAATGGGACCTTAAGGCCCATTGGCCATATAATGTGAATACTAGAGACTTAATAGAATAGTTAACGACACATTTCATCCATTCGTATTGTTCTGGGAGTTTTTTTAGCTCAAGGTTTATCAAAATTTTGATAAAAAGTCTTCTTTTTGTAAAAACGACATTATTTGTCATAAGCCTCAAATTTTCATTTAAGGCCCAAAGTTTTGTAAAAATGACATTTTAGTCCATTATTTGTAAAAATTTGTAATTTTGTCCTAAATGTCTAGAAATTCATGGTTTTAGTTCAAAATAATATATTTTAACATTTGAAAGCCCATTTTTATGGAAAAGTGCATTTTAGCCCCTTGTTTGTAAAAATTTACAGGTTCGGCCCAAAATTTAATAAAAATTTCCTTTTTGGTCCAATTTGGAAATAAATGTTATTTTCACCCCTAAATTTGGTTTATTTACATTTATGCCTTAATTTTTGATCAAATAACATTTTAGTCCCAAAAA